CATTTTATTTTTATTTATTTATAATGGATTCATTAATTCCACAGGGGAAAAAGGAAAATATGCTTTATTAATCCCAAAGGGAAGATAAATGTTCTCACATGCCTTCCTCTTAAATGTATCTGTTATTTAAACAGGTGCTGTTTTGATAGCTGTAGGCAGGAATGATCTTCTGTAGAGGTCTGTCTTGCACCGGATCTGGAGAAGCCTCTGACTAAAGACCCTCTGTTGTCGTTTGAAAATCTTCTGAAGAGGATTCTCACTGTTGTCCATAATTTTCTCCATGCATGGAACATGGAGCGATTTTGAGTGGAGTGTCCTGGAGCAACTTTGAACGGCGGAGTGAATGAGCGAACATACTCCTGTAACAATGGGTGGTGTGAGACCCAAGCTTCATAATGGAAAAATACCTGCTCTGTCCCTTCTTGTAGACGGCTTAACAGTTGTGTCTCCACCTCAGTTTGTCATCCAGGTGAACACCAAGGTATTTATACTCTCAACCACGTCTACTTCTTCTCCCATGATGTTAACAGTATCATGAGAGAAGAAATGGAGGTGGTTATTCATTCAGAATAGAATTTAAAATCCTCCTTCTCACATATAAAGCCTTAAATGGCCAAGTTCCATCTTATATCATGATCGTTCCTTATGTTCCTAACAGAGCACTTCGCTCTCAATCTGCAGGTTTACTAGTGGTTCCTAGAATTTCTAAAAGTAGAATGGGAGGCAGATCTTTTAGTTATCAGGCTCCTCTCCTGTGGAACCAACTACCAGTTTTAGTCCGTGAGGCAGACACCCCGTCTACTTTTAAGGCTAGGCTTAAAACTTTCCTTTTAGATCAAGTTTATAGTTAGAGTGGCTCAGGTTATCCTGAGCTATCTCTATAGTTATGCTGCTATAGGCTTAGACTGCTGGAGGACATAGGGACCCCCACTTCATCATTCTGCTTCATTCTATCTCTATTCCCCCACTCTGCAGAATCTGTTAGTTTAATCTCTAACGTTCTGCTCTCTCTGCTTTTTCTCATAGTAGCTTCATCTGGTCTGTTCCTGTTCATCTGTTACTCCATCCTGGAGAGAAATATCAGCTGTGCTGCTGCCACCAACACCTATGTTTACAGATGTTGGAGATCGGCCTGTTTTTCAGTGTAGTCCTGTTTCTCTGGCTGTGACTGGCTGGATGTGCTCTCTTCATCCTCTGACATGGGAGCTGGCTCAGAGCTCGTCTGCCTGACTGTGTGTTTCCTGGACGGGACAATGCGTTTTTTGCACCATGTTTTTTCTCCCACACTGTTTACATTTGATCACTGCTGCACTTTATAGGATAAAAATGTTCCTTTACTGTCTAGAAAGCTGTAGTAAACACAGTTTTGTCTTGTATACACACTGTGTATTCAAAAATATAATAATGTTCACTGTTTGAACAGGATTTCAGCTTGAATCTCACTTTCAGATGTTAACAGAAAAACACCTGACAGTCAGAAAGCTATTTGATTACATAACATACAGTAGCAGCCATTTAAAATGGCCCTTCCCAGTCAAAAGTCATCCGAATCGCAGCAAAAAGGGAATCTCCACCTTCCAGCCACTTGCCTTCTCAGGGGCGTGTATATTTTCTTAATCGGACTCCAGCATTTTACTGAATTACATTAGATCTTAATGTCCACAAATCATGACAGAAAAAGTATTTTAGATGATTAAAAAGGAATTATAGGGGACTAGCCAAGGACCTGCCAAGGGCCCATCAAGGAAAGTGGGGACATTTTGAATGGCCATTAATGTAGTTACTACAGCATTTAATTGCATAACATCATAATCCCATTTATTTTGATTCCTGAAATGTGATCTGCCATTATAAATGACAGCAAGCAGGGAGTTATTTAAATCACTTCTATCTGGTCTCATGATGTGATAATCACAATATATTAATGATAGGTTGTAAAAGGCCATATAATCTGTAAAACGTCAGAGTGAAAGGTATTACTAAGTGGGATTCACAGATAATAGAACACAGGACACAAGCGTCTGCTCTAGCCACCAAGGCCACATCCCCAGATGATGTTCTGCTGCATTCTGAATCCGATTAGGGTTGTTTCATATAATGGTTTGACCTTTTAAGAAATGTCACCACAAAAAAGGCCAAGAAAGGACACAAGCTCAGAGACCAGACAAGAAAAACATTATTCAGCCATACTGCTTACCTTGCAACGAGGATGCAGGTATAAAAAACTCTTTTGAATAAAACTAAAGCAAATAAGATATACTTTTTTTTTAAAGAAAATCTCCACTGTACTAAAGGATGGTTAAGAGAGATTAAACTAGATCATCCTTTCTGACTTTTCATTGGCACTGCCTAAGAAACCGATTAATGAAATCGTATCTCAAAGTTCAAGAAGTTCCAAATGGAAACCCCTGTTTAATGCATGTTAACTTCAAGCTTTAATTCAACTGTCAATGTTGCTTTGATTGCTACAGTAGCAGCCATTGAAAATGGCCCTTCCCAGTTAAACAGCAGACGAATGGCAGCTCACTTCCCTGCAACTCCCAGCAAAGTCCCCTCCAACTTCCAGCCTCCGGAGTGACCCCAGCTTGCATATTTTGTACTCTGACTCCACCCTTTCACTGAATCACAGGGTTTTACCAGGAGATGATGCTTCTCATAGATCCTAATGTCTGCAAACCATGACAGTAAGAATATCTTAGTACAAATGTTGATGTTTAAAAAGGAATTGTAGGGGACCTGTGGGCTGTCTCAGAACAGAACCACAGATCCTTTCTGAATCTAAAACAATGGACCCCCAAAAGAAGCCATTTCGCTCTTTGTTGTTGAAAATAATTGTTTCCCTGTGAAGTTCCAACCAGATTTGGCATGCTTAAGATTGTCTGAAGATCGATATTTTGGAATTTGATAGCCGAGATTGGGCTCGGTCTCGCATTATACCTCAAAAAATTTGGTAGAACTCAATTTTTACCTTAAATATACATCATAAGAAAGTATTCTCCTATAATATTTATAGTCTTTCTGGGAGCCCACATTCCATTTCTATCAATGTTGGTTTCTTCTAGAGAAGCAGAGTGAGGGAAATAGATTCCTATTAATGATCCTAAAGGAAAGCAGCTTTGTATTGGTGGATCATGACCCCCGGTAAACAGAGTCCCTGATTCTCAAGTTGTCCAAGTTAAGAGTGAAATTGGTCAACACTTCACAGCCACTCCATCACTGAATAGGCACTCAGAGAGGCATGCTCACTGGTGAACTCATTGAACTAGGATGCACACTTATACTTAACAGGAATCATTTCTGCATGCTATTATTGTCCCAATTCAACTTCATACTGTTTCAAATCTGAAAGGAAAGATGAGCAGCTTAAATTAAATGTGGAATTAATTCCTGCATATTTCACCTACTAGTACTCAGAGTTTGATCGGCAGGTAAGCTGAGCTGCGACACTGTGACCTGAGCGCTACAGCTATAAAGAAGCAATATATGCTGCACACTAGTGAGCTTATTTACTAGGTACACCTGTATAACTGTTAGTTATCCCCACATTCAGCTCACTGAGCTGAAAAATCCCAAAAGGTTAGAGGGGCAGTCTGTAAATCCCTATCAAGTCTGGTAATAAAGTTCACTCCAAAGAGAACGGATCTTTAATAATTTTCCCTACTTAGAAGAAATCTTACACAAACTAAGCTCGCCCTACAGATGTCTTGTTTTATTCAAAGCTTTTCTTGGAAAACCTCTTCCTATAAAGACATCTGTTTTACTTAAATTATAAAAAGGCTGAAATGAGTTTTCTCCGTAGTGTGTCTGGGCTCTTCCAGACAGGTCAGCCTGTCTGGTACAGCATTGGTTTAAATCCTTAATTAAGGGGCAGAGATTTTTGTTGTTGCTGAGTGGGTAACAGATCAGAGACCACAACAATACCATGTGGCGTTCCTCAAGGGTTCATCTTAGGGACTTTAACTTTTATGTAAATAAGAATTGAATAAATTGCAAAAAGGATATGAACATGGAAGGATAAAAAGAAAATTGATATGGAAAAAATTTTAGGAATCCAGTGTGTGTGGGCTGTTTGTCTTTTTGTGTTCTCTCCCTCCACCACCAGGTGGCGTCCTGTTCTCTTTGGTCCTCCCACACACCTGCGGCTGGTTGTGCTCATTACTGAGGACTCCTAAGCGGTGGACTGCCACTACCTCGTCTCCAAGTGCTTGCCAGTTTTGGGTACTCTAGCCAAGCTGAGTTTTGCTGAGTTTAACTGAGTCTGTTTCTCTGAGTCTAACATTGTTTTTTTTCTTTGCCTTTTCGGCAGGAAGTCATCCCGCAAACTGGATTTTTTGGCCTTCTCCCCCTGGAAGGATTGTCTTGAGCTTCACACTGAGCAGGGGATTAATCTCCACCAGACCCGTTCAAGTTCTCCTGGAAATCGAAGTGGCAGTCCGCTCCATTGCTTCTCAAGGAACCAGCCTAACCAAAAACCTGTCTGCCCTCCGACGAGCCCCCCCAATCACTGGATAAGCCCACACCGACTGGATTCTGGGAAGAGAGCCTTTTTCTACTATGTGAGTCCCGTTCATCTCTGATTTTCGCAAGACGTTTTTCAAAGTTCCTACGGTCCCTGAACTTACCTCTGAACTTCCCTTCTCACTTCCAGTTCCGATGCACCAGCTCTCTGAGTTATCCTGGATCAACCTTATTTAATATTTCAATAAACCGGTTAAACTTTTCCTCTGGTTCTGAGTGGTTTCCTGCATGTGGGTCAGATATTTTTAAAAACATGACAAAAAAATTATCTTTTTTAATATTTGATTTTAAAAAAAGGTATTTATAATCAAAGTTATGAGCTGTCATTTTTTGAATACTTTTTTTACTTGTACCCCTACATTTTTTTCAAAATAGATTTTATATTTAGATATTTTTCAGTTGATGTTTCATCTTTTCAGACTCCATAAACATTGTGAAAGACCATTAATATGTATCAGGTACACTCAAATAAAAGACACAAATTGAAAACTATTCATTTATTTTTTAATCATATACAAACAGAATTGATTTGAAAATACAGAGATTGTGCTCTTTGGCTTTAATATCTAGATGAGGAGTCCAAAGCATCTGAGTCGTCTTCTTAAGCATTTCATTCAGCATCCCGTGGTCCTCGGTCTCTTTGAAGCTCACAGCTGGAAGCCAACACATGAGGAGGCTGATGGGAGATTACAAAGAAAATATAAAAGAACATGATGGTCATAATAGAGAGGATGATGTAAAAGAATAAGGAGAGATGATGTTAAGCTGCAGATACGAGCCTGAGCTTGTATTCATATAACACCTGAGAATATATCCTCCTAATATTCATCTGAGACTGGGAAAAAAAAAAAAAAGGAAAAACACCTGGAAATTTTTGTCTGAGTCATGCAACACGTCACCTGAGCGGGTGCAGCTCATTTAGGAGAAAATGACATTGTTATGTTGTGGTGTTTTATACAGTATGATTAATGACCGTGGCTGATGGTTCCTCTGCAGCGAAGCCAAAATAATCACCGCCGTGTTTCCGGCTAATGATCGTCTTTTTATCCTTCAAGCTGTGCTCTAAACACATTTGGGTTTTTCTTTAGGCATTCATATAAACACAAATAAAAAAATTTGATGAAAGAAACATATTTCATGTGACATTTAAGTCTTATTTTTAACCTTCTAATGAAAGAAGGCCATACATAAAATATAATTTGAAAAGAAACAAACATATCTTCTCACAGTTTACATTGAATGAGACTAAATTTCATCCATTTAGGGCAGTTTAATGCATTTTTACGAGTTTAATGGGTCAAACGTTTTGGTTTACTTTGAAAAGCTTTTTAAAATTTCAGCCCATTCTTTCTCACAGAACCAGTGGAACTGGTTCAGATCCATACGTAGTTTGGAGAGTTTCCCTCTTTTTTTAATCCCAATATAATCGATCAAGCTTTTATATTACAAAGTTTTTTCGAATCTCTCTTTAAAAACTGGAAAAAAAAAATCCGTAACAGATTGGCAGAACCTCATGCCAAAAAAAAACAACTTTTTATATCAACCGAGGGGTTAAAAAGTGCTGCAAATACATAAAATACTGCAAACACAAACATTAGACTAGCAAACATAAATCTAGATTAAAAGATAAAAAATTTTGAAAAATGATAAAAAGTTGTTTGTGAGTTGATGATCATCTCCCCCTTGTGGTCTGGAGTAAATCTGTTATCAAGACCTAATTTGCAGCTTGTCTAAACTTTAATTTTTTTTTTTACTTGCAACACTTCTCATTTGCATAGGATTTTTGTATTTGTTTATGTTTCTGCAGCAGGCTTGCACTTATCTTTTTTCCATTTTTAGTGACTGCAGAATTTCCCTTTTGTATTTTTCCTTCTCATGTGTTTTATGTGTTAGTTTCATTAAGTAGTAATATTTCTTTCTTGGCAGTGCTTTTATTCATTTGCTACCCATTTATGTATTTTAAACGTGTTTGCACACTTCTGTGGAGGGTGAAAAACACAACTGCAAAAAGGATTTGAAAATGCAAGAGGAAAAAAGGAAACAGAAATGGGAAAAGGAATTATGTTTATAAATGTCCTGATTCCTGATTCAATATATCAGAAATCTATTTGATAAAACCCTCCAAAAAATAAATCAAAATATATCAGCCTATATAAGAGCTCATAGGAACACTTTTATCTGCTTTTGTTTATGTTTATTCTTAGATTAATAAGAAATGGGTCATTTGTTCTCATACCTGATGTTGTTGGGTATTGTTCTCTTTTTGAGAAATATAATTTGATCAAGCCTTTTCTACCATTCCACACTATTGATTTATTTATTGATTCAGGTGGATATTGTTTTGTTTCAATATTGGTATTGGTTCATATTCAAAGCTGAAATATAGATATTGAATCAGAAATAAAAGAGTTGTATCAGGGCAGCTCTAAAGGAAAGGTATTTATAGCATTTAAAATTTTCAAATTGCAGTATTTCATCATAAGATTAAATATAAATAACATTAAATAATTTATCTTTAATAATTCAATTTAAAACATGCAGTGACAAAGCAGGATTTCTGATTATTTAAATGTTGAATTTGAAATGACTTGTTTTTTTATGTGGCTCTACTGGTCCTCCATACTTCTCAGCCACCATTAGTTTTACAGTCCTTTATTTTCATCACTGATCTATATCTATGAGGAAACTTGTTTATCAAATCTTGGTGTGAAGCACTTATGGAGTAATTTTCTACAATAATTCTAGTTTTTTAATTTCATATATAAAATCAGAAACAGGAAGGAAAAATGGTCATTGTAGATCATGAATTGTTGACATTTATGATGGAAACCTCTCTGTAACTGGATGGTTTTACTGCTTTTCATTTTTATTAAGGTATAAAACAAAAGCTTTGGAAATTATTACTACATAACTATTTTACAGCAACAAAACTTCTCTTTGAGAATTTGATGCTTTCGCATCTGCCCTGTTGTCTGCCCTGTTGTTTCTTCTTGTCATAGTTTTGGTTTTGTTGAAGTTTTATCTTTGAGTTTTCATTGGTTTTATTCCCATTTTGTGTTATTCTAGTTATTTTTTATTGTATTTGAGTTCTTATATATTTCTTGGTTGCCCTCTTGTGTCAGGTCTCCTTTTTCCTAGTTTCCTTCTTTCCTCTGCCCACACCTGCTCCCAATCTACTGCTTAGCCTGGTCTTTGTTTCTGTCTCCCATATATACTCTTCCTGTTCAGTCAGTGTTTGCTGGTTCCTCTGCATAATTTTTTTACCCTTCATGTAAGTTTTTCTAGATTTCGTCATTTTTTTTGTCTGTTTTTTGATTCTGTTGGAAACTATATTAAATCTGCAAGTTTGTTCTCTGCTTAACCTCCACTCAACCTGACACTTCTATGAACATAGCATATAAGTCAGGATCATATGGAATGCCTATAACCCAAGCTTCTGGAGCAGCTATTATTACCTTTATAGGTTTTTCTCTGAAACAAGTCATCTGTTTGACAAAGTAAGATGATAAACTACTGATATAAGATCCAGTTATGAGCAAGATCATCCACAGGGATCACGTGTGTCTAAATACAATTTATTCTCAATCAGTTGGATGGTCCTAAAAATATCTAAAACAAAAACAAAAAAGGCAACTGGAAAATTGTTATGGGTATAGGTCAAAGTGCATAAATTCACACCCAGCAATATCTGCATAATCTGCTGGAGGTGGTTAAAATGGCGTTTTCCTCTCCACTGTCGCTACATGCATACTCAGTGCAAGGGATTGCAGAGAGTAAAAGAGTCCTCGCAATCAACTGGTTGTCCTTAGATAGAAATATTTTGAAGAATATGATTATGTTACCTGTGTAAACATTTCTATGTTCTAATTGCAACTGTTCTCTGTCAGAGTCTCTCCAGGTTGAATTAGGTACGATACTGAGCATGGGTGTAGGGAGTAAAAAAGGAAGTAGCCGTCTGCTGCTAAGCCAGTTAACACCTTCCAGCGAAGTGTGCAAATAATTAAGAAAATTTGAACAAAATCAGACCGATCGAACACATTACAATTTTCAACAACTAGACTAAATCAAGACTATGAAGGACCGACCAGATTTAGCCTAAAAACCAACATCTAAATGATGGCGGGTCTTTGGGGGGGGGGACCATATTGTAGGTAGGTAGGTAGGCTCTTACCTTGATGTTGGAGATCTATCTAGGCTCAGAAAATCCAAACATTATCAGGACGGACACTTGGTGTATATAACCTTATTTTATCATGATCAATGTTTTTGTTTCTATGTTTTAAAGGGTGTATAGCTTCTCTGGAATATTTGATGCCTTAAATGGTCATTAAAAAAGTTGTAAAAAAGTTTGCCCTACAACCGAGGTGCCGGTGTTCTGTCAGATGCGCATACCCATAGTCACTATGCATGCGCAAGACGTCAGATTTGTGTTTATCCCTTTAATTTGTACGGAAAATAGACTTTAAACTACCTCATGTGCAAAAAAAAAAAGATCGCCATATGCTTCATAAAACACCAAATATATTAATAAATGTATTTTCTAACTAAAGGGAAAAACTAAAGGGATAAACGGGTATTGACTATGGGTATGCTGGTCTGACCAGGTATGCTCATCTGACAGAACACCTTTGGTTCAATTTCCGTAAAAGTTTAAAAAACAATCCACTGGACTTGGTTTCCAAGATTTGAAGATGTTTCGCCACCTCTCCAGGAAGCTTTCTCAATTCAAATGTCTGGATCCGCAGTGAGTTTGAGTCTGATATGGACAAGGTCTTGTATCGCTTGGAAACATGCAAATGGGAACCGACGAGTGGGTCGTTTGGTTCCATTGTTAGCCTGTAATATCTGAAACCTGTCTATGATTGTTAAGAATCGGTTATTAAGGAGGTATTGTTCACCGGCTGAAGTGGGGAGGTGCTTTGTTCCTCCGTGATGGGGTGGGGGGTGTGGTGATATCTGGAAGGGATCATGTCTATGATTTAATTGGTTTTTGGAAGCTGGAATCTGAGTCCACCACCTCTGTTTAAAGTTGGTTTTTCTCTCTTCACATAGATGGCTTCCTTCACACCCCTCTCAAACTGAAACGTCTTTAAATCTTGGAAACCAAGTCCAGTGGATTGTTTTTTTAAACTTTAACGGAATGACTATGACCTGGATGACTGAGAATCTTCATCAGCACCTTTGGTTCAAACACTGGCTTTGGCTTTCAGTGTTGCTGGGCAGGAAACTACACACATATTGCCTGCTGGTGGTGGTCAGAGGGCCCTCTGGCACCTGTGTACAACAGTCCGGCTTCTGTGAGTGCGCCCCAGAGCAGCTGTGGCAAAGTGATATAAAATCACAGGCCATTTACCAAGGTCCTCTTAAGTTTACCTGTTGCTTGTGTGTATTCTATTGCAAGACATTCTAACCCTTCCACTTAACTTCACATTACTGTGTTCTCTCATACAGTAGCAGCCATTCAAAATGGCCCCTCCCAGTCAAACACCAGCCCAATGGCAGTCCACTTCCCTGCGATTTCCAGCGAAATCCCCTCCAACTTCCAGCCACTGGAGTGACCCCCTCTTGCATATTTTCTTACTCTGACTCCACCCATTCACTGAACTACAGGGTCTGAGCAGCGCATGCCTGCACTATAGAAACGAACTACGGCTTCATCTCCTTGTGGAGGATGTAGGCGGGTCGTATCAACCGTCCAGTCACTAGTCACTAGTCTTATGACTCTGTAGGCCACAAACATGTTCAGAGCGTCCGACTTCAGACTTTATCAGAGGCTAAATTATAAAATACATTTCTAATTTACACATTGGGGTGTTGGTGGGTTCATTATACCTCAGATGGAGTGTTTAATACTGAGATAGAAGAACGTATTTAGCACAAAGTGACTGAACTGAAGACAATGTAGATCAGAGCTGGTGATAAAGTTGTATTAAGGGACCTGTTTTTTAAATCAGGAAGAAATGATATCTGGGGTGTTGAGTTTTGATCTCTCCACTGGATTTCTCAATCAGCTGAGATGCTTTTGGGAAATACAGCCTAGAAATTGAAGTAATTAAAGTGAATTAAAATATTCATTGTTGTCAGGCGAACTCTTTCCTTTCACCAGCTCACCTCGCCTGCATCAGTTGATCTCCTTCTTCAGGTATTTCTTCATAACTGAAGCCACGTCTCCCCCCTCACTCCCCTCCGCCTCCAGTCTCTCTCCTTGTGGCTGTTCGAATCTTCGTCGTGGCCCGCTACCTTGGGAGCTTCCCCCTGAGCTGGAGGACTCAGTCTCAGAGCCTCTCCTGCTACGTGTGGAAGGCGGCAGCTCTCCGAAGTGGACGCTCAGCGCCCTCCTGGTTCCTCTGATTGAGCTGGCCAGACTGCTGGTGGATTGAGCTCTCCGTATGGCGGGCAGGATGTCTGACGCCGCATCGTCAAAACCATCAGTTAAACGGCGGCTTTGGAAGACCATGGTTTCTGATCCCAGAGATCCTTCACCTCCGTCTGTAGCCATGACACTCTCAAGCATGCAACGCCGCAGTGGCTGCGGCGAACGCTGCATTGTCACGGATCGCAGTGGTTCGTCGTGGTCCTCCTCAGGGATGGACAGGGAAGGAGGATGGCAAGCAGCGAGAGAGGATGACAAAGAGGACAGACGGGGCAGGGAAGGGAGGGAAGCGGCAGAGCTGCTTGAGTTCAAGCGAGGAAGCTTGGTACCGGCTGCAGATACCTCAGAGTCGGCGACAGAGTGGGCACTAGCGGCGCGTGGCAACAGAGGAGATGGAGGTTTGAGGATGCTGGGACCCGGTCGGGGCTCCTGAACGTCGGCTGGACCGAGAGAAAGAGCCGAGGCTCTTCGCCTGAGTGTGGACGCTCCCGTCGTTTGATAAATGGGAAGGGACACGGCGCTGCCCGCTCCGTCCACCATCTCAGTGCTCGCTCTGCGCTTACGAAGTCCTTCCAGCAGCTCAGACAACGCTGAGGAGGATGGAGCTCGGCTGAGATGTCTGGAACCAGCGCCTCCTAAGTCAGAACCCTCTTCATCAGGATCCAAACAGGATCTGCAGATGAACAAGAGAAAAATGTTGAAAGAAGCAACTAAAACAGTATTAACAACACCTTTAGCAAAGTGACTTGATTTAGAGTTTGTGTCCAGTTTCTTTTCTTCCAGTCTTCAGAAAGTTTTCACCTTCTGCTGGTATGGGGTGATTTTTTTTCATTATTGTTAAAAGGAAAACTAATGACATTTTCCTAAAAGTGAATTTTATAAAAATGCTCAAGGATGTAGCTGTTTTTTCAGATTTTATAAAAAAAAAAAAAAAAAGAACTTGTAATGGCTGTTTTTATTCCAAAAAAAGTAATAAAATAAACAATCCACTGAACTTTGTTTCCAAATTTTTAGACTTTTCACTTCCAATTCAAGGAGCTTTTTCAATTCAAAATGTCAGAATTAGAGTTCCAAGCTTTATAGAGCAGCCCCCAAAAAAACCTTGTTTTGGCTTAGACAATATGCAAAATATGCAAATTGTCTAAGCCAAAAAAATTTATTTCTATTTGTTTGAAGAGTTACGCTACTAAGGTTGGACTAGCATCATTAGCTCCAAGCTACTTAATTACCGACATTATGTTGGCAGCCATTTTACGAGTCCTCTAATCCCTCTTTAGTTGGCCCGCCCCGGAACTGGACCGCCTGGTACCAGATGAACTAACTCATTCTTTCCAGCATCACTATATATTAGGGCTGTCAAAAGAATAAAATTTTTAATCAAATTAATCACAAGGTTTCTTGAATTAATTTCGATTAATCACTAGCCTAAATATTATTGAAAAATACAAATTTTCTGTGTACTCTTTTCAAAACGGAAAGATAAGCAAGATGGGTATTACATTTAGTTTTTATTAAAGACAAATCCAAAAAAAGAATTTAATTCTCAACTGTTTTGGTAACTTAGCCATTGCTTTTTTTCTTCTTTTTTTTTAAGCAAATACAGGATGGGTGAATGGAACGTTTTTCATTTAAAACAACCAAGTTGACTTTTAAACAATTACATGAGGTCATTTTACCTATTATTTATTCATCTTTTAGCCAGTTGTTAAGGCAAACTAACTGGTTTATATTTTCTGAATGTAAAGCGGACCGTTACTTAATGCCCTGCGTTCGGTGAGGGTGGTCTGTGTCCTAACAGCTGAAGTTGAAGCCCCAACAAATGAATGCTTGGCATTAAGATGATACTTAAGGCTCGAGGCGCTTCGGTGAAATGAAAAGTCCAAACCACAACATGCTTATTTATTGTCCCGTCTTTGTTTGTTTTTATACTCGAACTGTCCATCCAGCGGGCCAACGGGTTCTTCTGATTCCTCTTTCTCGCTCATGTCGGACAATTGAATTGTGGGTAAAACAGGGCGGGACTGCGTTAACGCGTTAAAAAAATATTGCGTTAATTCCAGAAATTAATCATCTTGCGTTAACCTGTTAATTTTGACAGCCCTACTATATATTAATGCATTCCTGAGTCATTGTTCATTTCTCACAGTAAAACTGATTGAAACTTTGTTTTGATTGCATTTAGTCTCTCTACATCTGTGTTTATTCTCACTTATCTGCTGTTATTTTAAAAAGACACTTAACTGCATTAAGCGTTAAGACTTAAACATTCCTCAGAGACTTTTGAATGGACTCTTAAAACCCCTTTCCCCTTTCTATTTGCTTTTATTTACTTGTATCTATTTACATCAGTGTTTAGTGATACAGTAACAATGTGTGATTATTAGCTAGTAAAGCTAGTAAACCGTGGCCTTTTTTGCTTATTTTATGCAGTGAATAATTAATCAGTCAGGTCAGATACACCCTAATTTTGAGGAACATCTGAATGAACAGAGTTAACTGCTGATCGCCATATTCTAAGTTACTAAATTAGTGAAGGCAACTAGATTTTAAACAGCTGATCCAGGAGTCCAACCTTTTATGTAAAAGACTAACAACCCTGGTGATTAAGCAAAATGAAAGTTATAATAAATTAACTAATAATCATTAATAGGTTTTACCCTGGATTTGAATGATCTATTAATTAGCTATAACTCCCAGTTCTAGTTATTTCAGATATTCAGAATCTTCAGGTGAAATTGCACAACACCAGTTAAAATGTCCAGCGGACCAATAGAAATGTGTCTTCTAGACTCAGTCCAGAGGAAAGCCCGCCCCAAATAGGAAAAAAATTTGATCTATAAAATGAAATTTGAAAAAAAAATAAATAAATGAAATTTTTAAAACCAATAATATGACAAAGAGAAATGAAAAACAACAAAATTGGGAAAAAAAAGTTAAATAATTTGAGAGAAAAAAAACAAACTCAGAAAAATGAGAAGTTACTCTGATAACTTATTTTTTCTTTTTAATAAGAAGAGTTTAAAAGTTGTTTGGAATGAAATGTATGAATTTCTCTTCACAAAAGGAGTTACTTGTTTGCAACAATAACTCCATACAACTGTAGCTGATCTCATTCCATTCCTTTATTAATCCATTTTCCAAGAGCTCTAGCTATGAGCAGCCATAACAGTGAGGTTAAGTCTGTATAGACAGGGTGATATGTTTAAAACTAACAGCCCAAGTGAAAGGTAGCCATTCCTCCATGGACAGCAATCCCCAAAAAGCTTTTAATCCTCTGTTCCTGCTCCTGACTTTATTTTTAAACACCTCAGGGACAACAACACTGGTTATTTCTGAGCCTTTCTCTTCTTAATTAAAATGCAAAGGAGACCTATTTGAACAACAATCCATTATGACATATAAGAAAATATTAACGCTTACTGCTTATTTGTAGGTAAACACAGAAAGACACAGTAGCTTTGGTTAGTAAAGCCCAAAATGAGTCACTTCAGATTCAGGTTTAAAGCTGTTTCCACTTCATCAATCTTTCTATTGATTTGTGGTAATATTAATGTTTTGTTGCAGCCCTTTAGGATTCCAGACATGAATCTGTTGGTGAATCTGTGGACGGAGCTAAAGATTAGGATTACACTGAGGAGGATTCAAGGCTTTGAAAAATACCTCATCATTAAGTCAGAATCATCCCGAAGACAGGTTAAAATATAATAAAGGTTTTTCAGCTGTTTACCCATATGTGTTTTTCAAGGTCAAGGTCAAATTTATTGTTATAGCCCAGTAGTGCAACAGCTCTGCACAAAGTATTGCTACAAGAGAAATAGATAAATATAAACAGAACATCACAATAAGAAAAACAAACATGCAAACAGAAAAGGGCAGGTTTTCCACTACATGTAGGCGATCGTGGGGCACCGTCACTTCAAAATAAAAGCAGCCAGACCTTTTGTTAAATTTTATTTAATTTTGAAAAACCAACCCTGTGCGCTCCTCTCTATCCTTCTGTAAAGCATGGATGAATACTATTGATAACTACAGTGAGCTTCTCTGCTGCCAGTAGTGACGCAAAACTGAAGAAAGCAGGCCAGGGTTCAGAACTTTGAGCACTTTAAGCTATTTTCTTTTTAAAAAGCCATCCCTCCATCCATCATCTTCTCCCGCTAAAGCCGGGCATACACTGTAAGATTTTTTTTTACAATCGTTGCACTACATACTATGAATGCTGGCGTGCCATTAGGAATAAGTTATGAACAGTTTAGTTTGTGGCTTCAACTCATTGCCCATAAGAAGACGTTACTTGGATATAACTAAACCGAATATCTTCAGAACAGCTCCAAATCACACAAAACTCAAATGGGTGAGTCTAACATGACGTAATAACATGTACTTAAAATAACTAATAATTACTGTGCAACCTCGATACATTAAATGGATACATAATTAATTCGGTATTTCTTTATAGTACTGATGATTAACAGTAGATCACAAATCAATCATGTTTGTTTGTTTAAATAGATATCTCATGTGCTAATGAAAACTGTGTCGCAATGTATGATTGTCTCAATTTACACCCTTTCAAAGATAAAACAATAAAAACAACTTTAACTTGTAGTTTTATCCTTCCTGTGTTTACTCTGTAGGTTTCAGTTCATTAAGACCTAACCACACCATCCACCCTGCATGCATTGCACCGGTGAAAAAATGGCTTTAAGTAATTATGAGGTTACAAATGACCATTTTTAAGTTAATAGGAAAATAACAACATGTTTAGGACAACATGCTCAACTAGTCATGAATCCATTTAAAGTTAAAAGAAAATAGGAAACTTACCGAAAGCTGTAGGTGCTCATGGTATCAGTGACAGACTGACGGCCATCTTGGCTGCTGTAGGGAGAACCACCTCTACGGGACCGATTGCCCTCCCCCACATCCTTGGAGCCAACAGAACCAACACTGGACACAGTGTCACTGCAGGATGAAGAAGGACATCTTAACAGACAGGATCTCCCTTCACCTTGTAGAGCAAGCAGCCAAGCATCATCAGCAGCAACACACATGCAAGCATGTTACAGCTGGTTACAAGACATGACTGCAACTAAACAACTAAAGATGAGTTCACTACAGGACGGTGTTGGTTTATAGTTAGGACTCCACTAGTTGTTCCAAAAAGTTACAAAAACAATCCACTGGACTCTGTTTCCAAGTTTGAAGACATTTCACTTCTCATCCAGGAAGCTTTTTCAATTCGAAATGTCAGAAATAGTTGAGGGTTTGTAAAGTGGACCAAAAAAACAAAGCCTTGTTTTGACTCAGTAAACATGCAAATTGAACCGGACGAACAGGTCCACCCCTGTGGAATGGGGCTCGTTTGGTTTCTTTCACTAGTTCTGTTGATTTGGTAAAAAATTTCAGGTTTGAAAAAAAGTTCCTGCAAATCTTTGATCCCTTTTTGGTTACGCAGAGAAAACAAAGTATCTGCCACCTGAGATTTCCTCTGTTTGCCGAGAATCAGCCGGGATGGATGGTAAAGTGCAACTTCCCCCTGAACCTATTGGTTGATTGTACCTATTAGTTTTTTACGTCACTTTGACAGATGATTGATGATCCCGTAAAATTTCAGACACGTTCTTGAGCATTGAGGGGATTGAAATACAGCCTTTGATTATGCCAAAACCTTCTGTGTTGAGATGTTTTTTTATGAACTGTGAGATGGTCCTGTTGATGACATATGTTCCCCTGTGGATGTCTTTTTGTTAAATCATTATCATGGACTTCAACTGAAGCAACTGATGTTTTTTATTTTAGCAAGGCTTTATTTATGATGTGCTTGGTTCTCTTGAGACCTCGTAGCTGGCCCACCGATGAGCTCCTGAAGTAATGCTGCTAGTTTGGTGTAGGAGGGGATGATTGCTCTCAATGGCTCTGTGATTTTTAGGGGTTTTGAAGCTTTTTAAATGGCTAAGATGTTAATGGATGCATTTGCTGCATCTGCATTCTGAGGGGATGAATGTGTATTTTAGGCCAGTTTCTGCTATTGAAATAGCCATGAGTCTCTAAACTTTTCCTCAGATGTGCAGCAGAGCTGCTTTGACCGGCACGCTGACCGGTGAGAAACAGGATGAAGCTTTGTAACACAAAAAAACTGAAAATGATAAATATGACAGGAGATATGGTCTCTTGTTTATTCCATTTCATTTTTAATTAAAAAAAGATTCACACTGAACAGCTGTGTTAAAGTCTGTTCATTTTAAGTTATATGCAGAAGTTCTGCAGACTTTGAGGATTAATCTTCCTCAGGAAATAATCTGGGTAATGATCATATGGATCTACTGTATTTCCTCTCTAAGGTGGAAACCTAATCCAGAGCGCTTCAGACTTCAGGCCTGCGCAACAATCCAAAACACAGAGCAAAGATCTCAATGTGGTTTATCAGAACTAAGACTTGGATCGGACTGAACATTTCTAGAGAGATCTGAAAATTGCAGGAGAGGTGTGGCCTCTGTTTTACTGACAATTGTTAAAACTGCCTAAAGACAGCTGAGCTAAACTTGGTTCAGATTCAAAAGGACCTCCGGCTTAAGTAAAGCGTATGAATACCAGTGTTTGGAAAGATAATAGTTTTAGTTACTCAGTTACTGCTCAATGAAAGTAACTTGTTACTGGCCAAAGTAACTATGCTGTTACTCTTTATGATCTAAAGTGTTTAAGATGTTGGAAAACTTCCCCAAGGAAATTTTTGAGGTGCCTGCCACTTGGTGCATATTCGTATGTGTGTAATATTTGGACTGGAACCAAAGGCTTAAGGGGGTTAGTTGAGTTCACCATACATTGGCATATATGACCATACCAGGTGGCAAATTGCTTGTTCATGGCTGATGGCAACTAGCATCAGCATAGTGAGTGGTGACTCTCGTCGCCTCACCTACTGGGGACGGGCCTCACAACACCTGTTGGCACTAGCATTGACACACCTAGGGGACGACTGATGTCGCAACAGCTAGTTGCAGCTGACGTCACACCTACTGGTGACTGATGTCACCAGACATGGTCACAGTTACGGTAATCCCTATAGTGCAATAAATTGCTGAGTAAATATTATAGGCTGTTATTTTGTAGAGGACCTGTTGTTTTATTTTGAAGGTCTAGCAGGGCTGTGTCTTCAGCATACAGTCAGCCTCTGGAGAGACATGGAATTGATTTACAATTGTTGAATCTCTGTTTTTCCTTATTTTTAGATTAGTCTATGCTTTATTACAGAGGAAATAGAAGTGCTTTATGTAAAAAGTTGCACTCAAGTGTGCCTTGGTAGTCTAATTTCAAGAAACTGGTTGAGTTGGGGTCAAAACAATGAGCCTCATGCCGCAATGAATTAGTGTGAATAATGAAGAGGCTTTTATTTTGTAGGGTCTGTGGTGTCTTATTATGAAAGTCTAGTAGGGTTGTGTGTTAAGGAAAAGGTCACGCCCAGCAGTGATACAGAAACTATTTCCATTTGTTAAATCAGTCTTTTCCCCTGTTATTATCTTAAAACATGCTTTATGGCAGTGGCAATGGTAGACTTTTATTTTGAAAATTGCAGTGGGGCGCATTTTGAAAACAATAATAGAGTCTAATTTATAAAAACAGGCTGAGTTTGGGTCATAATGTTGAGTCAAATGCTGCAATAAATCAGTGTGTTAAATAAAGAAGCTTTTATTTTTTAGATCCCTGGAGTCTTACTTTGAAAGTCTAGCAGGGTTGTGTGTTAAAGAAAGGGTCTGACACAGCAAGTATTTAGAATCAATTTGCTATAGTCAAATCACACTTTTTGCCTGTTAGTAGGTCAAAAGATACAATATTAAAGTGTAAATGGAAAACCTTTATTTTGAAATTTGCAGCGGGGAGCGTTTTAAAAGACTCCTAGAGTATAATCCATAAAAACCAACTGAGTTTGGGTCACAATGTTGAGCCCCCCCACCCCGCACCAATGTATGTGATGTAACGTTTGTACTGAAACAGAAATCTCGATTACAATGCAAATTGTAGTTGACAATAAAGAAATTGATTAATTGATTTGATTATAGTAAACAGTAGATCAAAAGCCGACTACTGTACATTTGTTTGTCTCAACAGATATCGCATGAAAACTGAAAACATTGTGTCACTGTCTAGATTTACACCAGTCAAATACGATAAATAGCAACTTTGGAAATGTTAGCCTTCCTGTGTTTACTTTATAGTCTCCAGTCCAATAAAACCTAATCTGCCCAGTATGCATTTCACAGGTGAAAGAAATTGCAGACTTACATGGATGAAAAAATAGAAAGGGATTTTAGATATCACAAACATCAAATTTTAAATTTATAGGAAAATTACAACATATTTAGGCTCACATGTTTAGCTAGTCATGGATCTATTAAAGTGTGCTAAATAAGTATTTTTATCTGCAACCTGAAAACTGAATATGAAACATGTTTGCTTCTAGAAAATAAGAGTTTGGGGAGGTCAAGGTCCACTATGACAATTTGTTGCCAATTCTGGGTTTTTCCAAACAGTCAAGGCTTTTTAGCTCTTCACATCAGTCGTGTCCAAACCTTTCCTGATGGGAACAAAAAAATCAAATTAAAGCTACTTAAGAGACCACAAAATGTACATCTTTAAAACATAAGCCATGCTTTAACCAGAAACTGGATACTTCTGTTCCTCAGCCAAGAAGCATCTCTGGTGAGTACAATGTTATTGTAACTGTTGAACTGAATAAACACAAAGAATTGTAAAATCAGGAATTTTCTTTCTAACAATTTTTTTTTCACTAACGAGCTATGAGGTCAAAATTCTTTCAAAAGCGCACATTTACGATAAACACTCATCAAATTTGTTTTATTTAAAGTCGTAGGGAAGTTATATTTAAATGTCAAATCATTCTGGCTTAAACATGTATGTAAATGGACTCTATTATTATTTTCTCCCAAAATTTAGAAAATTTCTATTTAAAAAAAAATCCTTTCTTAAAATCTCTTTTTTTTTTCTCGTTATCTTATGCAGGCCAGTTAGTTATACGTCAGCTTGCACACCTAAATTCAGCCAATCATAATCAACGGTCATCCGTCAATAACATTTTTTCGGTCATAGGATCTTGATTCATATGTCGCAGCTAATATACGCAACGGTTGAAATCAGAATCCTTTCCTTTCCCATTGAGTTCTGTCCCAGTGTTCACGGGGATGGACGTCTGTGTCTTCAGCAGGCGTAGAGCTAACAGAACTGGCAGCGTTGCGAGGCAAGGGCTCAAACATGTACGGCTGTAAGCCTTCTACACCAAACCAAGCTTCTGCCGCCCTGGCGTCCTCTTCCACAACATCTTCATCCCCGCTTTCCTCCTCTAAATAAAAAATGGATGATGAAGGAGACTCATCCACGGCCTCCGACACAAAACTCTCCTCCTCTTGCATGTTTCCTCTGTCCATACCGTTCCTTGGCAGTGTCGTTTCTAAGTGACCAATTTAGTGCTACTTGGTCCCAATGGAATTTCCCAATGGGAACCTACTAGCACTAAGTTGCTAACTGGTTAGCAAGATGCTTTTGAGAAACCGGCTACAACCAAACTTGATTGCGAACCTTCTGCCACAACAATCCCGCCCCCTTGCTAAACGACCAATGACATTCACTTTATTCACTCGTGTTAAGTCGTGCTCCACTCGGGAGAATTCGGAAATTAAACGTTTGGAACAGCCGCTTCCCTATGACTTTAAAACACCACGTAAACACCTTTCCAAGCATATTTTGAAAGTCTTATGCCTGCAAATTCAATACCTTGAGCCCCTTAATATATCTCACACCTTCTCTGCACTATCTTTGCTCTTTAAGCGGCTGTAGCCTCTCTGCTACGCACTGTACGTGCGGATCTGTTTCCGTGAGCTTGTGCCAACTTGGGTCTCTGTGATGGTGGAACCAACCTGATATGCTGCCTGTAATTGGCTCCTTTAAGGTAAATTAACTCTTAAAATAGTACTATTTTCTTCCTGGTTTAGCTACTAATGTTAGTAAAGGACTCTAAGGCTAATCGGTGCTCTGGCGTCATATCTAACAACTATCTATGTCATCAACTGACAAATGCTTTGCTAACATACAGTGGGGCAAAAAAGTATTTAGTCAGCCACCAATAGTGCAAGTTCTCCCACTCAAAAAGATGAGAGAGGCCGGTAATTTTCATCATAGATATACCTCAACTATGAGAGACAAAATGAGAAAAAAAAAATCCAGAAAATCACATTGTCTGATTTTTAAAGAATTTATTTGCAAACTATGGTGGAAAATAAGTATTTGGTCAGTTACAAACAAGCAAGATTTCTGGCTCTCACAGACCTGTAACTTCTTCTGTAAGAGGCTCCTCTGTCCTCCACTTGGTACCTTCATTAATGGCACCTGTTTGAACCCGTTATCAGTATAAAAGACACCTGTCCACAACCTCAAACAGTCACACTCTAAACTCCACCATGGCCAAAACTAGAGAGCTGTCAAAGGACACCCGAAACAAAATTATAGACCTGCACCAGGCTGGGAAGTCTGAATCTGCAATAGGTAAACAGCTTGGTGTGAAGAAATGAACTGTGGGATCAATTATTAGAAAATGGAAAACATACAAGACCACTGATAATCTTCCTCGATCTGGGGCTCCACGCAAGATCTCACCCCGTGGGGTCAAAATGATCACAAGAACGGTGAGTAAAAATCCCAGAACCACACGGGGGGACCTAGTGAATGACCTGCAGAGAGCTGGGACCAAAGTAACAAAGGCTACCATCAGTAACACACCACGCCGCCAGGGACTCAAATCCTGCAGTGCCAGACGTGTCCCCCTGCTTAAGCCAGTACATGTCAAGGCCCGTCTCAAGTTCGCTAGAGAGCATTTGGATGATCCAGACGATGACTGGGAGAATATCATATGGTCAGATGAAACCAAAATAGAACTTTTTGGTAAAAACTCTACTCGTCGTGTTTGGAGGAGAGAGAATGCTGAGTTGCATCCAAAGAACACCATACCTACAGTGAAGCATGGGGGTGGAAACATCATGCTTTGGGGCTGTTTTTCTGCTAAGGGACCAGGACGACTGATCTGTGTGAAGGAAAGAATGAATGGGGCCATGTATCGTCAAATTTTGAGTGAAAACCTCCTTCCATCAGCAAGGGCATTGAAGATGAAACATGGCTGGGTCTTTCAGCATGACAATGATCCCAAACACACCGCCCGGGTAACGAAGGAGTGGCTTCGTAAGAAGCACTTCAAGGTCCTGGAGTGTCCTAGCCAGTCTCCAGATCTCAACCCCATAGAAAATCTTTGGAGGGAGTTGAAAGTCCGTGTTGCCCAGCGACAGCCCCAGAACATCACTGCTCTAGAGGAGATCTGCATGGAGGAATGGGCCAAAACACCAGCAACAGTGTGTGAAAACCTTGTGAAGACTTACAGAAAACGTTTGATCTCTGTCATTGCCAACAAAGGGTATATAGCAAAGTATTGAGATGAACTTTTGTTATTGACCAAATACTTATTTTCCACCATATTTTGCAAATAAATTCTTTAAAAATCAGACAATGTGATTTCCTCATAGTTGAGGTATATCTATGATGAAAATTACTGGCCTCTCTCATCTTTTTAAGTGGGAGAACTTGCACTATTGGTGGCTGACTAAATACTTTTTTGCCCCACTGTATCCAGTGTCATCTAGGAAGAAAATAATACTGTTTGAAGAGCCACAATATTTTTTTAAATAGCCAATCACAGGTACTTTCCTAGGTTGGTTCCTTTTTCAAAGTGACAAATCGGAGTAGGATATTAGGGGACCTCATGGTATTTAGCTTAAATGCATCAAACATTCAAAATGCGCCTGAGAGTAGTTTACAGTTTGAAAATACTTTAAGTTTGGAAGTATTACATACTGTTAATAAATGATAAATGTTTTTAATTAAGAGTAAGAGCTCTGGTGAATTTCAATGGTGAAGTCCTCTGGAAATCTTCACTAATTGTTGTTGATTGCAGATGTGTCTAGTAGTTCCCATTGATTTTGCTTGTAAAGCGGGGAGAATGGCGCTAGGCTTACCGCACCGTGACGTCACTGCTGGAAGATGGCAGGAGTGAGGTGTTACTATATTTGGGCAAAAATGGCCGCTCCCAGACTTTTTTTTTTTTTTTACTGATTAATGCTAGGTATAAATAATTATCCATTGATCATTCCTTGTTGACTGGACTTTTCCTTTAAATAAAATTGGTCACACTTTTGGCAGAATTATGACTTCATAATGAGCATTCTACAACTGTTCCTCAGTGTAAAATTTTATGGTCTGTATTTGCATCACATGAGCAAACCTGTGAAGCACAAATACAACACTTCAAACCCACTCAGCAGTTCCTTACAGATCTCTTTTGCGAGTAAAAGACTCCACAGCAGTTTGAACGCTGCATTTAGAAGCACAGTGGTCAAAGGTTCAGTGTAAACACAGGGATAGTGTATGTTGGTGTGATCAGAGAGCTATCCTGCATGGAGCTAACTACCTTTCAGTTTCACTGTCATCGCTGGATTCCACTTCCTCCAGGGCAGCCTGCAGATCAGCGATGCGGCGGATCGATGTCTCTAGGTCAGCCTGTAGAGTCTGTCTGACAGCAGAGAGTTCCTCCACCTGCATTTCCTGTAAAACAAACCGAATTGGAAGGATGTGTGAGGATGCGAGGGGTACAGTGCCCTTCGGTTCACCTTCATCTCCTCAGCTGTGTGCATCCCTCCCATTGCAACCTGTAGAGACCCCAGGCTTCCAATCTCCTACTGAGATTACTTCCTGCTGAGCTCTCATAACCTCATCCGTCACAGCCTGACTGTCCTCACACATACCCACATAACCCTATCTGTACTCAAGTTTATCTTAGAAAAAATGTTACATACTCTCACTGACACTAGAAAAAAAAGATTGATTGATTAATTCATCTTGCTTTTCATGTGTCATTTTTTCCTCAGTCTCTCTCTCTTGCATCACGTCTCCATACGAACATGGGACCTTTCACACGTGCAAACGCCTCAAAGCTTTCAAAGTTATTAGCTTTGCTGGCTTTGAGGAGATGGGTGTGGGAGCAGCGGTTGTCATAGAGACGCTTGAGCACATATGAGTGTGTGCGTGTTCGTAACCTTGAACAGACAATGAGAGTTAATCACAGTCGCAGAGAGAGAAAGCAGGATGAGAGAGACGCTAAAGAACGATGCAGGGTAAGGAGGAGGAGGATATATGAGTATGAATGTTTATTCATGAAACAAGAGTGTGTGTGTGCAAGGCCAGTTGGAAGGTTCTTAATAAAGGGCAACTCTGTGCATGAGAATAGCTTTGCACTAATAACTGAATAATTAGTGAGTCTTTTTTCCCCTCAGAGGTCACCAACGAATCTGTTGAGCATGAGAACGAGAAGCATTCTTGGAAAATTAAATCATATTCTTTGTACGCCACAGCCCAGTTCAACAAACAACCATCCTCCGCTCTCGCTGAGCTCAAAATCTTTCAGACGAGTTGAATATCGAAAGCTTCACTGCAGCAGAATAACAGGTAGAAGTAAACAACTTGTTTCAGTCATTCTGATTTCTATAGGACTTGTTGGGCATTGAGCGGCGTGTTTTGTACTGAATTCTCCTTTTCAAAACAAGCTGATGTAAGAGCATTGGGCTTTTCATGCAGGGCCTTGCAAAGGATTTCATACTTCTTGAAACCTTTTCACATTTTGCAACATTCCAACAAAAAAAACTCATGTGTTTTAAAGGGATCTTATGTGAAACACCAAAACAGAGAAAACTAAAGAGTGAAAAGTCAGAATTCCTGTGGTATGGGTTAGGATTTAGCACATACTTTATTCTGATACCACTATACTTGCGATGTCGACAAATAATCAACTTCTGATCATTGATAGATAGACAAAAATAATATTTTAGTACAAAAATTGATGTTTTAAAAAAGGAATCTTAGGGGACCAGCCAAGGGCCCATCAAGGAAAGTTTGAATGGTTACTACTGTAGATCATTGATATATTAATAGGTTTATTAGATGAAATATTTGTTTCATCAAATTAATATCTGGAGCATAGGCGGATCTACTGGGGTGGCATAGGGTGGCAAATGCCACCCTAAATGACAGCCTTGCCACCCCAGCTGCCCCCCCAGTTGGCGGTAGGGGTGGCGAGGCTTATAAATTATGGATCATTTGAGAATTACGACCGCTAATTTCCAATGCCGGATTGCAGTGAATGCAGCACAAGATGACGCGAGAGCGACTGAGACTGATTGTTTTGAAAACCAAATGAGGCAAAGCGAGGGAGCCAGGGGTGATGGGGAGAGGAGAAACGGGATGAAACAGGAAAAAACTGATTAACTTTCTATCGAGAAAATGAAATCATAATGAAAGCACAATGTTGCTAGCATAGCTGCAATGTTGATTTTGAGATGATAAAAATCAGGTTGCAGAACGTTATTTCTCTAACTATGATGTTAGTTAGGCCTGACGTTTCAGGCTCATAAAGAAATATTTGCGGTCAACTATGACAGAAAAGAGACTATCAAGTTTGGTTGAACTCAAATCAAAACGCACAAAGGCATTGGATCTAAATACATTTGTGAAGCGTTTTGCTGAGCAACATGGAAATCACCACATTCAGCTGTTATAGTCATGTTAACTTTATGTTCTGCTCTCTGGTGAGCCTTTACAGAGCCGTTATATTTTGTTTTGGCACCTGAGAAAATCTGATATTTCCTTTAATAAAACCAAAAGTGTTAAAAGTTAAAAATGTGATACTGGTGTAAATCCTGCTTAACATGAAGCAGTGTTGTTGTTTCTTTTTTTGTATATATAATATGAAACTATCCAGAAATGACCCGTATGAACCTACTCACAAGCAAAATGTATTTTTATGTTGCTTCTTTTCAGATTTGTGGAGATTCTGATGTAACATACATGTAACACAGTAAAGAAGGGTATTAAGTATTTTAGATAAATGGGCCAATAGGTTCGGCTATGGGAGCATAGTGGGGTGTTTAAATGACACACAAAAGCGGTTGGATGGATTTAAAGAACAACTGACTTTAGTGATATGAAATGTAACATTGTACAAAACAGTTGTATGAAACACAAAATCATGAAAATAAAATACACACAATAAAATCAACAATGAAATAAAATAATAGCAATACTTGGCCAAGTTCTAATTCTCAGTTCTAAATATCTTGGGTGCACCCTCTTAATATGAATTCAAATTTGTAATAAACAATTCAGATTAAATTCAGTTCCAATTCAGGTCTGACTCATCATCATTCACCTGAGGAGAATGTCCACCACAGTGGTCTGTTCTAATGTCCGAAATAAATCTTGTAAAAAAAATAAGGTCTTAAATCCCAGAATGAAACAATAAAAGTGAAAAAATGTAAGTCAATGGTCCCGTGCATAACCAACTGTGCGTGAAGATGTGAGTGAAACAGGCCTACCACACCGCAGGGTGCAGCAGGACTCCAAATGGAAAAGAATGAGTCCAGTTCTTTCTCTAAGTCCAGGTGGGAAGGCTCGCCATCAATCACCGGAGGAATCCACCTCAGGAATAATCCAGCATAAAGAAAAAAACCTGACCTGTCAACAGACAGGACCAGCAGAATAACAGAATTTTTATTAAGCTGTTCTAGCTTTAATCCCTGAATCATGCTTCTCTAGACATCATATCCAACATCAATGTGTTAAGTTACTCAAATTTGAAATAACCACTTCCCTTTTACCTCAATGCAGTATTTCACCACATTATCAATTCACTTATTCTTCTAATTGTAAAATATTTTTCAACACAATAATAAAACATTACTTTTTAACCAACTCAGTAAAAGTTTACATTTTAATTATTAACTACATCCAACTAAACGCTATTATTTAACAGCAATGTGATAAACAGAACAAAAACCTAAAGGAAATGCACAAAATATGCTTACCGATCTCACTCCAACCTGTTTGGGACAACAATATGATGGCTCTCAGTCCGGACAGGTGGGGCACTTCAACTGAATGGAGAACAAAATGAACCTCCAGCAACTAATAGCTAAGAGCTAACAAGGCTAGCAAGGTAGCTTTAATGCTCGGCAGAAAACTTTAGTTTTTAACTCACCTCAACTATTTCCAGCTTGAACTGTGGATGATAAACGGTAATTTTAACTGCAAACTGTTTGTTTTAAGTTTGTATCCGAACTATAACTGTCAGACTACCACACTGCACAGCTCAGCAGTCTCCTCCTCACGCCAGAACTAGTACTGCAGACGCGGGGAAGCAAGACAGGACCCGCGCGGCAGTGGTCCTCTGACTCTTAAAGGGACATCGCCATTTTATGTATGTTACACCCTCCCCTCTGAAGGGTATGCCCGTCCCTGGGCATTCACAATGCAATACTGACTAACACAGCTTAGGCAGGCCTGACGAAATCATGGGACACATTCTCAAAACCATTCATGGAACTAGTCAATGCCTCACTTAGACCCTGGAAAAGAGAATTCACTACCATTATCAGAGGATTTCCTAGTTTTACATAATCTAATCTTTTAGGCTTTGTGTGTACTCTTTGAGAGCGACGAAGAGATGTTTCAGCCTCTTGAAGTCCATCAATCTGAAACTTTAAGGGTTCAGGCTGGGCAGTAACGGGTTCATTTGCTTTACAAAACCCATCATCACATGCTGCATCTGAGCTTGTCTCATTATCTGGAGGAATGTCCTCAGATTGCTGCAAATCCAAACACTGAGGGGATCTGTTCACCGAGTTCAGTTCAGGTGAAATGTTCACTTCAGATAGGTTGTCATGTTTAGGTAAGTCAACATTTTCAGGTAAGTTGACACTTGATACACCCTGAATGTCTCCAGTACTTCTATGACCTACAAGGGAGGGAGTTGCTGGATTATCCGGTGTGAAGGAAACTGCAGATTCCTCTGTTCCTGCTGAGTGCCGGACTGCGCAAGGAGGCTCACTCGACTTGTGAGTTTCAGGCACTATGATATAATCATTAGGTTTAGATGTAATACGAGGGACGAATGTCCAATCAGGTATATCATCCCAATCTGAAATGCTCTGCTCCTCACTCTCGATGACTGGACATTGTCTCGTTCTGGGTCTGCTGTTTGGACAAGGTTTGACTATTTCAGGTTCTGCAGCTGCTGACAGGAACCCACATGGCAAAAGCAGGTCTCTGTGCAGAGTCCGTACTGGTCCATCTTTATTTTCCGGTTTAACTGTGTAAACTGGCATTTCTCCAGCTTGCTTGAGGAAAATATAGACGTCCTCCTCCCACTTGTCTGCCAATTTATGTTTTCCACGCAACTTCACATTTCGTACGAGAACTCTGTCTCCTGTCTGCAAGGTTGATTCAATCACCCGCCTGTCAAATCGGGCTTTATTGCGACTTGCATTCTTTCCTGCATTAGTAGTGGCAATACGGTAACTTTCTTCCAACCGAGATTTTAAATTACCAACATACTGGGAATGAGTCTGTTTGGTAGCATTGGTGGGCAATCTGAAAATCAAGTCAATGGGTAATCTGGGCTGTCTCCCGAACATTAATTCGTACGGGGAGAATCCAGTCACATCACTCTTTGTACAATTATAAGCATGTACCAGAGGTTTGACAAAGTCTTTCCAGCGGAGTTTGTCTGACTTATCAAGTGTTCCAAGCATTTGAAGCAGAGTGCGGTTGAACCTTTCAACCGGATTTCCCCTAGGATGGTAAGGGGTAGTTCGCACTTTCCTGATGCCAATAAGTTCACAAAGTTCCTTTATGGTTTTTGACTCGAAATCAGCACCCTGATCACTAAGAAGCTTCTCAGGAAAACCATAATGGACAATAAAGTTTTCCCAGAGGCACTTCGCTACAGTCTGTGCCCGCTGGTTTGGAGTCGGTATAGCCAATGCATATTTGGTAAAATGATCAGTTATTACTAAAATGTCTTTTGTGTTTGAGCGATCTGGCTCTATTGACAAAAGTCAATGCATACCAGTTCGAGAGGTCGGCAAGTTTTAATGTTCATCAGCGGAGCAGCTTTTTCTGGATGTGTTTTTCGACGAATACACCTCTCACAGGTTTTAACCATTTTCTCTATGGTCATGTACATTTTTGGCCAGTAAAATCTGGCTCTTGCCAAATCTACTGTTCGTTCGACTCCAAGGTGACCCATATCATGATGAAGACTCTTAAGTGCTGTAGCTCTTAGCTCCTCAGGAAGCACAAGCTGATATGAGATATTTGGACCATCTTGTCGCTTACGATAGAGCACTCCATTCTGCATCTCCAACCGGGACAACTCTCTTAGTAACAAAGGTAGTTCTGGTAGCTCCAACCTAAGGCTGGGACATGGAGTTTCACCAGTCTCCAAGAGTATAATGACTGCATTGATGGCAGGATCTAATGTTTGTTTTTCCCGTAACTCTTCTTCTGAAAATGAATGGACAAGAGGGGAACCATCCACTTGCTCCTGCTGGAAGCAGTCAGGAATGGCTGTAGACTGGTGAGAGAGGGATTCGACCAAAGTTAACCCAGGAGTGGTGGCTTGAACACCAGCTACAGATGAAGTGACCATATGACGTTCACAGATAGCCTTAATCACTTCTTTGGAAACGTTTTCTGGACTTTCAGGATTGCTCAGATGGTACAGTGTGAACTGCCGGATTCTCTCACTTTCTTTTTTGGATGCATAATCATCCTGTGGTGGATCGTGAGGTCGGCGAGAGAGTGCGTCGGCATCTAGATTGTGCTTTCCTGCTCTGTACTGAAGACTGAATGAATAAGTAGACAGACTAGACAACCACCGGTACCCTGTCGCATCAAGCTTTGCAGATGTTAAAATATAGGTAAGTGGGTTGCTGTCAGTCACTACTGTAAAATCTGTACCATATAGGTAATCGGAGAATTTTTCTGTGACAGCCCATTTAAGGGCCAAGAATTCAAGCTTATGAGCGGGGTACTTTCTCTCGCTCTTTGAAAGTCCTCGACTTGCAAAAGCTATGACTCGAGATTGACCATCTTGAATCTGATATAATGCAGCCCCAAGGCCAACAGTGCTGGCATCTGTATGCAGGACATATGGAAGCTGGGGGTCTGCAAATCCCAAGACTGGAGCTGATGTTAGCCTTCCTATTATGTCATCAAAGGCTTTCTGACAATGGGATGTCCATCGCTGACCAAAGGACTCCTTTGGGTCGCGATAATCTGAGCCTAGATTTATCTTCTGTTTCTTGTTCAGCTTTCTGACTGGTGGATAACCAGAGGTTAGTTCATTAAGTGGTTTTACAATTGTAGAGTACCCCTGAATGAACCGTCTGTAGTATCCAGCAAATCCTAAAAAAGATTGAAGCTCTTTAAGATTTGTCGGGATCGGCCAGGTCTTCAAGGCCGCAATTTTCTCAGGGTCGGTTTCAACTCCTCTCTCAGAAACAACATGACCAAGGTAGGTTACTGAGGTCTGAAAGAATTTACACTTCTCTGGTGCCAATTTCAACCCGTATGTCATCAATCGTTCAAGAACACGCTTCAAGCGCTGTTCATGTTCTTCCAGGGACGATGAGAAGATAATCAGGTCGTCTATGAACACCAAAACTTCTTTTAGGTTCATGTCGCCAACACACTTTTCCATCAGTCTTTTAAAGGGTTTTAAAGGGGCCCTTTTTTTGTTATTCCTTGGGGCACCCTTTTTTAAATTTTTAAAAAACCCAAAACAGGACACACAAAGGGCGTCTTATGCTTGTCTGCTTTTCCCTTTTCGCCCCCTGAAAAATTTAGCCTGATTAAAGGTTTCAAAAAAACGGAAAAAAACCATTTTAAAAACCGCAAGTGCAGTAAAAACCCTTTCTTCCATTTTCCCGGAAGGGGCATAGGCGCCCTTTAAATGGTCTGCATTTCAGTTTCCCCTGTAAACCCCACCCAGACGAATGAACCATTCTTTTTGCAAAAACCAAAAACGTTTGGGGGAAGCAAAAGGGGACTCAAAATTCCCCGGTTAACTCCAAAATTTAAAGGAGTTCCTGTAGATGTTTTTCTCCTCCCTCCACATCTTTGGGGGTTTGTATTGGACGCCCCCTTTGTTAAAAGGGTTTGTCTCATCACTGACCCCAATTTCTGTGCTTCATTTTTTCCCGTTTGCCCAAAAAATCCAGGTAAATTCCTGAGAAAAAAAACATTTGGCATGGTGTTAAAACATTTTTGTTATTCGCTCTTTCCATTCAGTGGATAAAGGTGAATCCCCAAAATCAAAGCTAGTTCTGTGGAAAAATCCGATTGAGAACAATGGGGTTCCCATTGCGTATGTTCTTTGTGAAAACCACCTGTACTATAGCTTTAAACTTTCTGCCAAAATACTATTGGGGGGGAATGACTATGCCCTGATTTGTGTGTTTTTGGGTATAACAGGAAGATGACTTTGGATGTTTTGCTGGGTTAAAGTTACTGCAAATCGCTTAAAAACGAGAAAGCCATTTGGTAGAAAAAGGGGGCTGAGGGTTTGGCCTAAAAGAATAAACCCCTCTCTCCTGATGTTCGAACGTTTCAACAGGAACAAAGCTTCAACGACAAGAAAGTCTGCCTTGGGGAAAAAACCTTTAGGCAACCTGAGGGGTTATTTTTGCACAACCAAGGCTGCTGTGGTAAGCCCCCTTTGTGTATCTCAAGTATTTTGAAAACAGTTTGATATCCTTTTAAATTAAAAGGGCCCAAAAAAGGGGACGTTGCAGGTAATCAGGTTTTTAAAAAACATAAAGGTGTGTTTTTTTGCCTAAAAAGCACCTGTTCATTGGCTGCAGGCGGAGGTGAGGAAAAAACCCAAAGGAAAAAGGGTTTTTTAATTTCACTATCGACCCAAAAAAACTTTTTTGGGAAAGGTGAGGGTAAAGCTCAACATATCCTAAATAGGGCAAAAACTGCCCGTTGGGCACTCTCCCACTTCAAAGCAAATTTTTAAAAGAGTAAAATGGCCAGATCAAAAAGGGTTTGGGTTTTTTCAAAAAAGGGAACTGGGGCAAAAGTTGTGACTTTTAAACTGGGTCCAGGGGGACATTTGGGTGTTTTTCCCCTGAAATTAGAAAACTTGAGCTGTGGTTTTAGTTCCCACAAGGCCAGGGTTTGGGCTTTTGAATTTTTCTATTTTCAACATTTTGGACAGAAGTTTTCAGGGTTTTTTGGGGAAGGGAAATTTTTTAAAAACTTCGCTCCCAAAAGTCCCTTTATGGGAGCAGACACTATTTTAAAATTTTCTGTTTTGGGAAAAGCATTAAAAGGACTTCCCAAGCAGCCTGCTTTTCTTTCAGCTGTTTTTTCTTAGCTGTAAAAAGTGGGGAAATTTGGTGCTTTATCACGACGGAAAAAACCCGGGCCCATCCTCTCCCACGGGGAAACCAGTCCGGGGAGCGGTCTGCCATTTGTTTTTAGTGTGGAAGTGTGATCACGGCTTTTTTTTGGTTTCCAACATGGGTTTCCCAGGGTGTGACACAAAAGGGAAAACGGACTTTGCTTTTTTTTTTGCTTAGGTTTTTTTTGGCTTTTGACTATCTGACACAATGCTTTCCCCCTGAACTTTTGGATCAGAAAGTTGTTGTTTAACCCATTTCAAGATCAGTCTTTTTTATCAATTCATTTTTTGTCATTTTGGCAAGATGAAATTTGTGCTTTGGCCCCCGCTGCCTGCGGGAGGTTATGGCCAGACTTGGGAATGGCTAAAATTTGCTGTCGCATGCGATTCATTTTTGCACCCTTTTTTATCTTCTTCTGCCCAAAAGAAGGAGAAAAACAATTCTGAAAAGGTAGGAGGTTTTTCTTTCTTGTGTTCAAAATTTGGAAGATCAGCAAAATTAAAATTTTTTCCCCCCAACAGCCTCTGCAGAACTGTTTTTTAAAAGTGTTGGCCCCAAAAAATCGGGGCAGAAACCGCCACGTTCATTTTTTTTTGCTTAAAAGCATTTGTGCAGTCTCTCCCAAGGAAAACAAAAGGGTTTAATCCCCAATCATTCTGGAACGTGCCATGAACCTAGCAAAAAAGCTCGTCCCATTTTTCAACTGTCCCATAGGGGGAAAGTCAAAGCAACTTGAGTTTAAGTGGGGGGGACTAGACTGTGGGCTCAAATGTTTGATCATTTCAGAAGCAGGAGGAAGGAGACGTCTAATATACGTTTGTGTGCAGTGCAAGTTTTGGACACAGATGGATTTTTCCCGGGTTTAAAACTAAAACATTTGCCCCGCCATGTACCCCTAATCTGTTTCATGACTCGGACTTTGGACTCTTCCCCGGAAAAAAGCTCTGAGTCTACTGGGTGAAGAAATTGGGGAAATTTTATCATTACTGCGCCCCACATGCTCAACCCCCACTCGTTGAATCCCGGTGGATTTACTTTCGATTAGGGTATAGCAGGGGAAATTCAGAGGGGACAGAAGTCTTTGGGGTGGGGTTGAGATAATCAGGTTTTTTGTGAAAATGGGGAGGGGAGGAGGCAAATTGGATCATTATTTTTTTGGGTGGGGTTGGGGACTCTCGGGAAGCTAAGGTTTTCTGGATCATTTCTGAGGTGTTTGGGAAAGGCCCTTTCTGCAGATAAAAACCAGTTTTTTTAAGTTTCTTTCAACATCTCTGCTAATAAAATTTTCCACTCAGCCGGGCCCCAAATTTCTGGAGCTTTTCCCCAATTTTTCATTTTAGTAGCTTTGCTTCGGGGGCATTATAGTGTAGAATTTTCCTAAAGCCTTTTAAAATCTTTACACAATGCCTGCTTGAAGTCGTGTTTAAAGGGCTGAAGGGGAAAACAATGGGCCCCAAATGTCTGCATGGCGTTTCATGTGAAAAATAAATAATCATGTCTTTATGGTATTTGATTTAGGTCATCAAAGCGAATGTAAGGGTTTTAAGGGAAACCCCATACTTTGGGGGAAAGGGTTTGGGACACTTCCCCATCTGTTTCTGCCCCT